CGTGGTTTCGGAGGACCTGCTCGCGCCCAGCCCGGCCCAGTTAACCAGGCCAGCTGTATGGTAATGTGCCTCGCGGCCACTCCTGCTTAACTCGGCGGAGTTAAGGCCGGCCCGGCGCCCTCGCCCGCGGCCCAGGACAAAGCCTGGTGGTTCACCCTCCCTCGGGCCCTTTGTCCGCCAGGGCTTGGCAGCCGCCCAGCGGAGGCCTTTGTCCCCGACCCCAGTGATTGAGACTTGGCTTCCCAAAGCCGACCTCCTCGCCTGTCTCCCCCACGGCCAAACCCCGCCCCCTCCGGCCGTCTCCAAGTGGCAGTCTGGTGTGTGTCAATAAGGGTGTGTGCCGCCAGGTGCACGGGGTGGGCCGGGAGCCGGTTACCTGGCTGGCGGGTGAGGCGTCCCCACCTGGCTCGTGCCTCCCCGGGTGACCTTGGGGCCCCCGCTTCCTGAGAGCCCGTGCCTGCACCCCCAGGCTGGATGCTGCTCCGACTGAGCACTTGAGCGCCACTCTGTGCGCGCGGGGAAACCGAGACCCAGAGAGCCAGGGCACGGGTGTGACTGAGCTGCTGCCGCAGAAACGGTGCCTGGCGGCATCCCCCCCGGAGGGCCCAGGGCGAGGCGCACAGAGCTGCCCGCTCAAGCCTCTGTCTCCTTCCAGACGTTCATCTTCACCGACGGGGAGGACGAAGCCCTGGCCAGGCACATGGGTGAGCCCTGGACTCGGGGCAGGAGGGCGACCTCGACCCGGAGCAGAGCCCCTCTTCCTTGCTCCCCCCAGGGCAGACAGGTCACGGCCAGCAGGGTGGGGAGAGCAGTTTACTCAACGGGTTTGCTCAAGGCCCGCCCCACCACTCGGCCCCCCGATTCTCATGCAAATGAGGCCCATTCAGCCCCGGGGTCCCTTTGAGCCCAGGCCGCGGCAACAGGTGGCGGGGTGCTGGGAAAAAGCTGCCTGAATGGGCAGGGGCGGGCCGTGCCGAGAAGGCCTGGGCTGGGGGAGGGTCCGCC